GAGTTAAACTAAAACAGGAAACATTTAGTCAAGTCCTAATAAAATGTTGTACTTGTTGTTAAGTACTGTTGAGTCATTTCCCACTCACAGTGACCCTATGTACAACAGAATGAAAAACTGCCCAGTCCTGCGCCATCCTCACAATCACTGTTATGCTTGAGCCCACTGTTGTACCCACTGTGTCAATTCATCTTGTCGAGGGTCTTCCTCTTTTTCACTGACCCTCTACTTTACCAAGCGTGATGTCCTTCTCCAGGGATTGATCCTTCCTGACAACATGTCCAAAGTATGTGAGATGTAGTCTAGCCATCCTTGCTTCTAAGGAGCATTCTGGATGTACTTCTTCCAAGACAGATTGCTCCGTTCTTTTGGCAGTCCATGCTATATTCAATATTCTTCACCAACGCCATAGTTCAAAGGTGCCAATTCTACTTTGGTCTTCTTTATTCGTTGCCCAGCTTTCACATGCATATGAGGTGATTGAAAAGACCATGATTGGATCAGGTGCACCTTAGTCATCAAAGTGACATCTCTGCTTTTTAACACTTTAGAGAGGTTTTTTGCAGCAGATTTGCCCAATGCAATGTGTCTTTTGATTTCTTGACCGCTGCTTCCATGGGTGTTGATTGTGGATCCAAGTAAAATGAAATCCTTGACAACGTCAATCTTTTCTCCATTTATCATGATGTTGCTTATTGGTCCAGTTGTGAGGATTTTTGTTTTCTTTATGTTGAGGTATAACCTATTCTGAAGGCTGTGGTCTTTGATCTTCATCAGTAAGTAATTCAAGTCTTCTTCACTTGCAGCAAGCAAGGATGTGTCATCTGCATAATACAAATTGTTAATGAGACTTCCTCCAATCCTGATGCTCCATTCTTCTTCATATAGTCCAGCTTCTTGCATTATTTGCTCAGCATACAGATTGAATAAGTATGGTGAAAGGATACAACCCTGACGCACACCTCTCCTGACTTTAAACCACACAGCATCCCCTTGTTCTGTTCAAACGACTGCCTCTTGATCTATGTACAGGTTCTTCATGAGCACAATTAAGTGTTCTGGAATTCACAGTCTTTGCAAAATTGTCCATAATTTGTTATGATCCACACAGTTGAATGCCTTTGCATAGTCAATAAAACACAGGTAAATATTTTTCTACTATTCTCTGCTTTCGGTCAGGATCCATCTGACATCAGCAGTGATAGCCCTCTTTCCAAGTCCTCTTCTGAATTCGTCATGAATTTCTGGCAGTTCCCTGTTGATGTACTGCTGCAACTGCTTTTGAATGATTTTCAGCAAAATTTTATTTGTGTGTGATATTAATGATATTGTTTGATAATTTCGGCATTTGGCTGGATCACATTTCTTTGGAATAGGCACAAATATGGATCTCTTCCTGTCGGTTGGCCAGGTAGCTGTCATCCAAATTTCTTAACATAGACGAGTGAGCACTTCCAGTGCTGCATGCATTTGTTAAAACATCTCAGTTGGTAGTCCGTCAATTCCTGGAGCCTTGTGTTTCCAATGCCTTCAGTGCAGCTTGGACCTCTTCCTTCAGTACTGTCAGCTCCTGATTATATGCTACCTCCTGAAATGGTTGAACGTCGACCAATTCTCTTTGGTATAGTGACTCTGTGTATTCCTTCCATTTTCTTTTGATACTTCTTGCATCAAAAATACTAGCTACTAAATATTACCACCACTACTTGCCATCAAGTGGATTCCGACTCATGGTGCCACCATGTGTGCTCCTTAGGGTTTTCAATGGTTGTGACCTTTGGGAAGTAGATCATCGGGAATTTTTTCTATGGCACTCCTTGGTGGATTCAAACTGCCAACTTTTAGGCTATTAGTTTAGTGCAAACGGTTTGCACCACCCAGGGACCTGGGAATTAGTTGTCATTGTTGAGTGCCGTCGATTCTGACTCATGGTGACCCCATGTGACAGAGTAGAACTGCCCTATAGGGGGTTCTTGGCTGAAATCTTTATGGTTGCAGATCGCCAAGTCTTTCATCAGCAGCCAGCCTTTCAGTGAGCAGCTGAGCACTTAACTGTTGCATCACCCAGGCTCCTTCTTGGAAATAGTAGGTGGAATGAAATTAGGTAGACAAGAGTTATTTTGAAGGAAGAAGTAACAGGATTTGGAGACCGGTTGGGCCTGGAGGGTATTGATTCACATGTAGGAGAATCTGTCTTGTCTATGAAAGGAAGTAGCTGAGCTTCATCACAGGCTGATAAAGATGCCATATCACAAAATGGAGGAGGCAGGCAGGGTGCTGCTGCTTACTACTTAAATACATTTACTCCATCTCTCTAAGTTCCACTTTCTTTTTTGTAAAATGGGGTTAATGATGCCTACAGGTGGCAAAGAGTTGTGAAGAGCAGAGAAAACACACGTAAAGCACCTAACACTATGTGCCTGGTACCTAGTAGGCATCCATGAATGTATGAGAGAGAGAATGACAGCAATAACCTAAAAACAACAGGTGCCATTGAGTTGCTTCTGACTTATGGTGACCCCATGTGTATCAGAGTAGAACTGTGCTCCATAAAGTTTTCAGTGGCTGATATTTCAGATTTTTCAGGCCTTTCTTCTGAGCTGCCTCTGGGTAGGCTCGAACCTCCAAGCTTTCAGTTAGCAGTGGAGCACGTTAACCATTTGCTCCATCTAGGGACTCCAGAAATAACATAGTATAACAGAAAATAAATTAGTACAAACTTTCAAGATGATATCAAAGATTCACCCATGCTTGTTTCTAGAATGTGTTTGGCTGTGAGGAAAAATGAACTCAGTTGATAAGAAAGATGAACCCACTTGTGAAGCACAGGATGAAAATAAGAAAGGGACTTGAGTGAAGCAGCATCACAGTTGGCAGTATTTTTTTGAAGGGGTGACTCCTTTTGCCATAGAAGATTTAGTTGTGTGTTCGTTTCTCATTTCTTTACCTCCCTTGCCTCATCGGCAGGAGTGGGAGCTCAGACAAAAGGAAACTCTATTAGCATCCTGCTTAAGATTCTCCTCATATAACGTTTGGTTCTTAGCCCATTTTCTGTCAGGCTTCCTGAGATCGGAAAGCAATGCATAAAAATTCTCAGGCACGACAGTGAACTCTCCAGAGCTCCAGACTGGAATTTACAGCTGCCTGTAGACATTTCTATCAGCAAGTCCTGCAGGCAACGCCACTCACTATGTCCCAAATCAAATTAGTTACCCTCCCACACGCCTGTTCCCCCTCCAGAGTCTTCTATCTAGGTTAATGCCATTGCCAAAAATTCACCAGGTACAAAATCTAGAAATTTCAGTTCTTTTATTTCTTGTCCCACACTCCGCAAGGTCAATCCACTGCCAGTTTTTGTGGATTTACCTTGTTATAACGTGTTATCCAGTTTTGACTTCCATCGTCCTCTCTAGGATCACAGCAATAGCGATCTAGTTAGTCTCCCCCTAGGGTTCCCTGTAGTCTACAACTTCAGAGGGCTCTATTTACCTAGACTACCTTATAAATGATGTCCTGCTCTTGGGAGTTGTGTAATGGTGTGTACTTGTCTCCCTGCTTTCAGTTTCTCACTTGGTTAACACCATTAATTTTCTGAAACACAACTTACTTCTCTTTCTGAAAGCCTTCAGTGACTCTCCATTCAACCTACAGAATGAGGCCCCAAATCCCAAATTTCACCCATTTCCTTTCCTATGGTATCCCTTCAAGCATTCTGTGGTCTAGCCACACTGAATGACAAGTCATGCCCTCAAAGATAATGTACACTTTTTAACCTCAGTGGTGGCTCATAGAATGTTCTCCATTTCTCCTTTCTGACCCAGCCTGATGGTCATCTCCTCAGGGTAGCAGTCTTGATTCTACTCATCTGGCTCTTGGTGCTAAGCAGGCTCCATTCATGGCGTTTGCATGTATTTATTTTACCTATGGTTAGCCTGAGTGTCTCTCACCCAGACCTTCCATATCTTACTGCTATTGCTGAGTCTCTAGGGCAATTTGAACTGACTGTTAACCAGTCCACAAATAATCTTCTTGAGTTTCTGTTTTAAAGATGGTGATTTCACAAAAGAAAGCTTTAAAAAATTCCCAAAGAAACAGTTAACGATTTTATTTGCAATGTACCCAAACAGTGAACTCCCTCAGCTCCACTGCATTAAGTAGACTTTTTAGAGTCCCTCACAGTTTTATTATTCCAGGTGCACTGCTACCATAAGAGGCCTTTGTGGACCACTGTTATAAATGTCATTTGTTCCCATTAAGCCAAGTATATCATATATAAGATGATTGTCTAAACTTACGTTGACTATTCTAGAGGGTAGTAAATCAGGTAATATGTCAAAATATCTGAAGCCTACAAATACAGAAATCAACTCGTATTTTAGAATTTGAGGATTTTTTTCTTGAGCTCAATAATGCTTGTTTTTTTTTGTGTTTGGAAGACACATCGAAAGAGAAGCAGCCAACTCTGGCCATTATTTAAATAATCCAAATACGAGTCACGACTGTCTCAATTAGGTGGCTATTTCAGGTAAAATTATAAGGAATTTGAGTGTTGCGGAAACTACAAAAAGGGATTCTTTTAATTCTGATTGATCATGTATTTCCCTCATTGTTTTTTTTCATTTAAATCCACAGAGGATTGAAGTCTGTCACTTAATTTCAAATATTGTATTCCTTAGGCTCATTTTATTTTAATAATTAATAATAGTTGTAATAACTGGGATATGAAAGCACTGAGAAGATAAATTAACATAGATGGGCATATTTTTAAATTATATGGCATAACTCATTATCCATCATTTAGCTCAAAAACAAATTTGAAAAGAAAATAAGCATCTCTGTATTTTTTTTTTTCATGAAGACACACACTCTTATAGAGTCACTGTGGTTTGAAATCATTATAAGTACTTTATTTAATAATTTATTTTTTATATTTTTATCCCCATGACAATCTGCTCAAATGGTGTAAGTGCTTGTAATGTATAAAAATTAGTCACAAATTATTACTCTCTAGAAAATATCTGACACTTTATTTTCTTTCAATATTCTGACAAATAAACATAATACACAAAATACAGTAAAATGCACTTTTCCCATTTCAAATAAATATACTTTACTCTTGTAAAAAATTTAATAATCTGTGTAATTCACCACAGCATCTTAATCAGTGAAATAAAGCAAAAACAATCTCTAGTTAAACTGTCACTTATTTTAATGATTCTCACAGCATTTTGCTGAGGAAAAGGAACACTATTCTCTGAGAATTAAATTCAGACTTGGAGACTCTTCTTATTTTGGGAAGGCAAAGATAAGCTCCTTTAAAAAGCATTTAGTGTCAGAAAGAGTCTCAGCTTTGGGAAAAAAAAAATAGCATCGAAGTCTTTACTGAATGAATTAAGTTATGTGTAAACCTTGTTGTTAATACTTCCTAGATACCAGACTACGTTCTGAATAATAATGATTTATCACACTGATAATTTTTCCTATTTATCACACTGGTTATTTTTCAAAATTAGTGGTTAACTATTTAAATTAACAGTTATGTATGTTATATAAACCCAAGACAGAATTTTAAAACTTCTTTTAACAGGAAAGGCTAAAAAATGGTGCTATACAGGACAAATTTATGCTTTTCTCAATTGTTATTCTTAATATTTATTAGAACTGAAATCTACTGAATTATACAGACTTCACACAGACTCTTATATACACATAGATCCCTGATCAGTTTAAGACAATGTGTTAGTTTCTCTTTTAAGTGGTAACAATATTTTAGGAACAAGCAAAAAAAAAAAAAAAAAAAATCACATTTAGGTAGTCACCAATCCTCAGAGTTTTCTTATGTATAAACTATTCACCCTCAAAAGAATATATCACCAAATAATAAAAGTCATTAGTACTGTCTAACTTCCTATGTTAGCTGTTAATTGGTACATTATAAACTAACTTGGAAGTAAATCAAACTTTACTCTAGCTCCAACACCACCATAGCAGGGCCCATTTTTGTGGATGCAGAAATACTGGTCAAATCATACCACCTCAAGGCATAACTGTATTCAGTAAAAATCTTACACAGGCTATAAAGTGGGTATTAGATCTATCCTCAGCATTGTTAACCATATGTCCAGGTGGTGACCTACAACATGAAACCTCTCTCTTCATTTTAAAGAGTAGATAACTATATGCTTAAGCATTCTTTAATGGCAACATTTGTATTTCTACACATTTCTGAAGCAGATAAGTATGTACTTGAAAATTCACAAGTCCAACAAAACAAATTTCCTTCCTTGACATCCTCTATAATTCCTCCATCTCAAAGTGTGTATTAAAGCTGTTGGCCATGGATGTGTGTTCAAAGATCCTTGACAGGCTGGGTTTCAACAGCTCTACTGAATGACAGGACAAGTGCTGAGAGGTGTCATTCTTCAAGGAAATCATTTGGTCTGTCCCAGGCTCCCGTCTATCATAGTAGAGAGCCCAGAGCAGAGTAATGGTGAGAATCATGGCCAGGATTTGTGTTACTCCAATGGAGATTCCCAGAAACCTTAGCACCTGCAGTTGTTTGGTTCCTCTCAAAAAGGAATACATTTTCTTCCCACAACCCTGTAAAAGAAATAATACTGTCAATATTACTTTGTATGGGTGACATAGGGTCAAAATTAGTGAAAATAAACAATCTGTATCAGTTAATGGAATCAAACTACTTGATGTATAAAGTTTAAAACAGTAATTCTCAACAGGGAAAGCCTATGAGAAGCCGGAGGAGAGATGGAGGTGTGCACCTTTTGGAAAACCTGCCCAGGTGATTACGATAAGCCTATTCCTTCTCATGGCAAAATGGTTAAGCGCTAGGCTGCTAACCGAAAGGTCAGTGGTTCAAACCCACCAGCTGCTCCATGGGAAAAAAGACCTGGCGATCTGCTCCCCTAAACATTTACAGCCTAGGAAACCCTATGGGGCAGTTCTATTCTGTCCTATAGTGTCACTATGAGTCAGAATTGACTTGATAACACACAACAACAGTTCTGAAGTTGAGAACCATTGCTATAAAACAACCTAACACCTAGACCAGATTCCTGAGGTGCTGCAAAACAGTTAATATACTAATCAAAAGGCCGGAAGTTCGGGTCCACCTAGAGATGCATCAGAGGAAATGCCTGGCGACTTCCTGCTGAAAAATCAGCCTTTGAAAACCCAATGGAATATCAATTACTTAAATTTAAGAGTTAACTTTCCAAAAGAACATTCCTCTTCTTGAGAGAAAATATTTCTCCAGGTTTCTCTTTAACCACTCTACACGCTTCTTAGAAACAACTCCACAGTTTACTGTTATTCTGTATCATCTTTATTAAAGTGATTCAGTCTGAGCACAAGCCTCGTGTTTATTTTGAGCCAGTCTAATAATCATACATAAGGTTTACACTTTTCAAAGTAAACCTGGACACTTTTTGCTAAGCAGGACACTAATTCTAAAAAAACATATAATCTATACAATCTATTGTACTATTCATAGATATTTAGCTGCATAAACAAACACTTCTGTTGAGTGAGTCAAAAGAAGAAATAGAAATGTTAGAGTTCAAAACTGCATTCTATTCCACAAAGGATATTTTACTCAGAATAGGAAAGAATTGAATTCTACTCATTTGCTTTTCTCAAAATAAAATACTCTGAGATGATTTTACTTGAATATGTTTTCTACCTAAATACAGTTATCTTAGCCCAATGTTGGCACAGTGGTTAAGAGCTCAGCTGTTAGCCAAAAGTTGGCAGTTGGAATCCACCAGCCGCTCCTTGAAAACACTATGGGGCAGTTCTACTCTGTCCTATAGGGTTGCTATGAATTGGTATTAACTTGACGGCATTGGGTTTGGTTTTTTTTTGTTTTTTAGTTCTATGTTAATAGCTTCAGCTAATTCAAAGTTATGAATAAGACAAGTCAGCTAACTTACATCACTTGCTGTAATATTAAAATTCTGGTCAACTATTAACTGTAAATAATAACACTACCTCCATCAGAGCAAAAGCACTAATCCGTACATTTCCGGGAACCTATCTGAAGGCATGTCAGGATGCTTCATTTCACTTGTGGCTCCAATGTGGAAATTATATACTTTGAAATTATTCTCTGATCTATCTCCAGAATGAGTTTCTAAAATTGGAAGCACATCCGTAGCTTCTCAGTACTCAGTATTTACAGGCCACATCAAAGAATTAAGCAGCCTTTTAATGTGCTTGTGAAGATAAAATATAAATAAAATCTAGGTGCCAATAACTCCAGTATTGATATTTTTGTAATTGATTCTTATAATAAACATGACTCTCTAGTTCGAAACCATTGTGTTAATCATCAGATACAAATATATAATCTTCAGCCCTATTCCTTCTAGAACTGAAGAACTGAATGATGATAGCAGTTCATGAGTTCATGGGGCTTAAATTAGGTTGAACCAAGAATTCTCTACTGATAATGTTAAGCTCCTCAGGGAAATAAGTCCTTCCTTTAAACAAAAAAAAAAAAAAAAAATTAAACAGCAAGCAGTAAAATTCACTGAGAATAGCCTATTCTCTTAAGAGTAGCTTTAACAAAACCCGTACGTAGGAAGTGCAGGAGAAGAAGTCTTCTTATTATTTCTAAATACATGGCAGTCCTTCATATAGTATTGAGGCCTCACAATGTCCTCATTAAATAGGCAGAGTGACCAGATTTCAAAGACTGAACCTGCTGATCATTTCCCACCGAGTGCCACTGTCACTCTCGAGGAGAGCTCAGCAGTAGTAGCCTTCCCCCACCCAAGTGAACAGAACATTCACAAAGTGCTCATTCGAGCATTTTCTCTCACTGGAGTGTTTTTGTCTACCCTAAGTGTTTGAGTACAGCAAGCTGGAGGGTGTTAAAACAAGCAGTGTGAAAAACCAGATCCAATCCCAAAAATCTTGAACTGAAAAATCTACCTTCAGCAAGAACAAATACATAAAATCGAAAAATGCATACTTCCCTGTCATCACAAGCAAAACAAAAGGCAAATTAGCTGATTAAAAATCCAATCATAGATGACTAATTTTCTTATTTACTTTAACAAATACCTTAGTAAATTGCTGTTATCACATTGTCATTACTATCATTAGCACTGTTCACCAAAGATTTGTGTTTAATATGTGCCATGTGTTGTGCGAGGGTTTCTCATGCAGTATCTCAATTATCTTTGTAACATTATAATGAGGTGCTGTTGCTGGGTGCTGTCAAATTGATTCGATTCATAGCAACCCCATGTGACAGAGTAGAACTGCCCCATAGGGTTTCTCAGGCTAATCTTTATGGAAGCAGATCACCAGGTCTTTCTCCAACGGAGCTGCTGAGCGGGTTCAAACTGCCAACCTTTTGGTGAGCAGCCGAGTGCTTAACTGTTTGTACCACCAGGGCAGATAACTATTACTATCTTATTAAATAAGAATATTGAAGTTTGGAAGTGAAAAAACTCTACAGGCACTCAGCTTTCTTCAGACCATGTATGCCACATCTCAAAATTTTAGTGTCTAAAGCATGGGCTTTGGAATAAAATAGATCTGAGCTGAGTCACTCACCAGCTCTATGACAATGGGCAAGTCACTTAACCTCCTTATACCTTTCTTTTCTCATCTGTCAAATGGAGATAATAATACTGTACCTTCTTCATAGTAATGCTTTAAGGTCTGAATGAGGTAATGAATGTAAAATACTTGTTCATGTTGTTGTTGTTGTTGTTAGGTGCTGTCCAGTTGGTTCCGACTCATAGTGACCCTATATACAACAGAACGAAACACTGCCCGGTCCTGCGCCATCCTCACAATCGTTGTTATGTTTGAGCCCATTGTTGCAGCCACTGTGTCAATCCATCT